ATCGGCATCAAGGCGGCATCAACCAAGGCGGCATCAACCAAGGCATCAACCAAGGCGGCATCAACCAAGGCATCAATCAAGGCGGCATCAACCAAGGCATCAATCGACGGTGTAAATATCAGAGAACCAAAACACATTAACTTGGAAAACTCATTAGTGGCAGAATACCTGAGACCCGGTGCTCACATACCTGCTGCCTACCTCACCTGTCATAAAACTCCACGAATAAGTGACATGTTTGAGGTATTCTTGATGGTCTGTATGTCTGTCTGTCTGTCTGTGTCTGTCTCTCTCTCTGTCTGTCTGTCTCTCTGTCTGTCTGTGTGTGTGTGTGTGTGTGTGTGTGTTTGTGTATCTCTGTGTCTGTCTGTCTGTCTGTCTCGTTTCTACAAGTTTAAAAAATATATACACTCTTATGTATGCATGTATGTATGTATGTATGTATGTATGTATGTATGTATGTATGTATGTCACAGCTGATTACCCAAACCGTGACACACACACCCCCACCTCACCAATATGGCTGACCGAACACCTCAAATGGCTATGTCTAATTCACGTTGTCTTAAAGGAATGTCTGACTGGAGGCACAACAGACTGGGTAAAACATATGGTTGACTCAAGACCATAGATGGCTACATGTCTCACCCACTAATGTCTGAAGGAACGTTTGGATGGCTAAACACATGTCTGAGTGACGTCATAGCTGGTAGGGCGGCGGTGTAGACATAAGATGGCTGTGACAAGACGGCAGTATGGCTGAGCTGACAAGATATGGCTGACATGCTGACGAAGATTCCGGGGGAAGATGTCTGAGTGTATGGCTGTTTTTAATGGCTGGGTGAATAATTGGATCTATGGCTATTTCAATGGGTATGTGACTGAGTAGATAGCCATATGTCTGAATGAGTTTATAGCTAGTGTACTTTGACGAATAGGTTGGATACACTGCTGGGTGGCTAGATGGGCGGCAAGATGAGTGTCTGGGTGGCTAGATGGGCGGGAAAATGACTGGGTGGGTGGACAAGAGAGAGAGAGAGAGAGAGTGGATGGGTGGCAAGGAGACATCACCGAAAAAGATACATCTACTGTTTTTGAGGGGTGGTAAATATAACTAGATGGCTGTTGGTGGGGCGGCTTGACGGGTGGGTGGGTGGTGGGTGGGTGGGTGGGTGGGTGGGTATGAGTAGGACGAAAGGTAGGTGGTAGGTAGGTGGGGGTGGGTGGGATGGTGATGGTCGGTGGGCGGGTGGGTGGGTGGGCCACTGGAGAAGGTGCTGGCCCCCAGAGGCACAATGCCAGCACCCTCCCTCAGCCGCACACACACACACACACACACACACACACACACACACACACACACACACACACACACACACACGTTGCTACCACACATGATAACAACCCGACGACTTACTGATCTCTCTCTCTCTCTCTCTCTCTCTCTATCTATACCTCTATCACACTTCTCGCTCTGCCTCTTCTCTCTCTTCTATTCCTTTGTCTCTGCTCTATCTCTCACGCATGATAACACACAGGCAAACCCACGATCCTTATGACCTCTCTCTCTCTCTCTCTCACTCTCTCTCACTCTCTCTCTATCTCTCTCTCTCTCTCTCTAAACTGTTATTGGTATTACAGGAAGGAATTTAGGAGTTTATTGTGTATCTGATTTTGCTTTCAGACAGACAGACACAAGCAGAGGAGACAGACAGACACAAGCAGACAGAGACAGACAGACACAAGCAGACAGAGACAGACAGACACAAGCAGACAGAGACAGACAGACACAAGCAGACAGAGACAGACAGACAAGCAGACAGCGAAGAAGCAGGGAGAGACAGAGACACAGCAGCAGAGCAGACAGACACAAGCAGACAGAGACAGACAGACACAAGCAGACAGAGACAGACAGACAGACAGACAGACAGACCTTAGCTCCTCCAACACGAAGAGGGAGAAGAAGAAGAAGAAGAAGAAGAAGAAGAAGAAGAAGAAGTAAACAGGGCGTGACAGTTGTAAGGTCAGTAAACAGTACAGCACAACAACATCTAGTACAACACACGGTCATAACCTTACCTCTCTCTCTCTCACTATCTCTCTCTCACTCTCTCTCTCTACCTCTCTCTCTCTGTCTCTCTCCTCTCTCACTATCTCTCTCTCTCAGTATCTCTTTCTCTCACTAGCTTCTCTTTTCTCTCTCTCTCTCTCTCTCTCTCTCTCTCTCTCTCTCTCTCTCTCTCTCTACTCCTTTCCTCACAGTCCTCTAAACTACTCGTCCAGGGCTAAAACCTAACCTAACCAAAGCGCTTATAGGCAACTGACGGGGGAGGAGGAGGACAGGGTAGGGGTAGGGTAGGAGGTAGGGTAGGGTAGGGGGGTAGGGGTAGGGGTAGGGTGGTAGGGGTAGGGGGAGGGAGGGGGTGGGGGTGGGGGTGGGGGGTAGGGTGGGTAGGGTGTAGGGATGGTAGGGTAGGGTAGGTTAGGGTAGGGTAGGGTA